TCAGACATTCAAGACCACGTATGTGATGGCTGCATCCATGTTTCACGCTCATGCCTTTAGTTCCGGGGAACTCCACAAAGGCAGCAGAGACGCCAACATTAACGGCGTTGTGTAAATCAGGAGCAAGTGAGGGCAGAGCTGGCCAGATGTTTCTGTATGTCACCATAAAAATACACAGGCTAATCGGGAGTGACAGGTTGCAGGGCTGGTCCCAGAGATGCACGCAGACACACCATCAAAACAGAGCTAAATTGCCCCCGAAATCAAATGCAGGGTCTGTAATGAAAGATGAAAAGATCTAAGCGGGAGCAGGTTTTTCTTTTCGAATGTAAATGGCAGGGTGGTATTTAAACTGTGACTGATCTCTGGCTTTTTGGCAAGCTTATGGTTCTCCCTCCACTGCGATAAAAAATCCAGCTAATAGGATAAATGTGATTAAGTGACTATGACAAGCAATTCAGTTATCTCACATGGAGAGGCACACTCAGGATCCAAGGAGCATTATTTCTGAATCTACAATGCAAAGGCTTTCCCGCCTTGTTTATGCCACAGACCAAATTCTGCTCTGGTTACTCGAGAGTAATCCTAAAGTAACTGTGGAAACGGGGAGGGGGGATAATTGTGGATTTTAATTAATAGATTTTGAGGCCAGCGGGGCCTGTTATTTTCATCTAGTCTAATCTCCTGTATAGGACAGGGCGTAGAAAGTCAAGCCTATACAAGAAGCCAGCAGCTTCTTCATTGAGCCTCGGACATTGCAAACTAAGCCCATCTGGAAGATAGGAATCGCCATCCTATTAGACCCTTTACAGTGAGAGGGTATGTCTACACTACCACTCTAGTTCGAACTAGGGTGGTAATGTAGGCAACCGGAGTTGCAAATGAAGCCCGGGATTTGAATTTCCCGGGCTTCATTTGCATCTCGTTGGGCGCCGCCATTTTTAAATGTCGGCTAGTGCGGACTCCATGCCGCGCGGCTACACGCGGCATGGACTAGGTAGTTCAGATTAGGCTTCCTATTCTGAACTACCGTTACTCCTCGTGAAACTACCTAGTCCATGCCACGTGTAGCTGCGTGGCACGGAGTCCGCACTAGCGGACATTTAAAAATGGCGGTGGCCGGCGGAAATTCAAATCCCAGGCTTCATTTGCAACTCCGGTTGCCTACAATACCACCCTAGTTCGAACTAGGGTGGTAGTGTAGACATACCCAGAGATAAGAGCAAGGGAGCTCTACAGCCTGTAGCTCAAGCTGTCGAAGCTTCTATGCGAAGCTTCTGTTGCTCAGCTCAGGTGTGAGAGACTCAGGGCTTGTCTTCACTTACCGAGAGATCGATGCTCTGGAGATCGATCTCCCGGTGTTTGATTTAGCGAGTCTAGTAAAGACCCATTAAATTGACCGTTGATGGTTGACCTTGGTACTTCACGGGGTTGCAAGGAATAAGGGTAGACAACGGAAGAGTTTCTCCCAACCTCCCACAGTGATGACACGACAGAAATTTCACCTATGGTACATCGACTCCAGCTATGATACTCTCATAGCTGGAGCTGCGTATCTTAGGTCAACTTTCTCTGGTAGTGTAAATCTGGCCTCAGGTTCAAAACCTTGCTCTGATTTGGAGTAGGGACCCGAACACAAGTGCATTCAAGCTGAAGGGTATTGTGGAGTGTCTCTGGTTGTGACCAGAAATTCCATCCTGGACCCAACAAAACTTCCCAACAAAAGCTGTGTCAAAAGCAGGCCCTTTCCCACACACAAAAAGTTTTCATTTTGACAAAGTGGCATTTTATGAGAGAAAAGCCTTTTGTCAAAACATTCCCCCTTAGCTCTCTACCAAATGTAAAGCTGGCATTCGCTCATACAAAACGTCCTATTTCCTGAGTCGGTGGCTACAGCATAAAGGGAGAGGGGAGCTAACTGAAAACTTTTAGTGCTATTTAAAAAAGATCTATCTGCTCTTTTTGATCAAAAGTTCCGGCCCCCCCACTGAGGCACCTCTCTATGGCAAACTGTGTTTTGGTTAGCACAGCATGTGGCTTACAAAGAGGGAAGTTTTGCAATTAGTGCTAGAAGTTATGAGAAGTTGGCCATGCACTGATTTAAGGCCAAACTGATTGAAGACAGGGGGACTATTGTGTGAGCGGAGGATGAGCGACTGGGCCTTTCGAGCTCTGCCAGTCTCATGATACTGCTAAATGTTGCTCTTTCTTTACAAAGCGGTGTTTGATTCCCCAAAAGTCAAACAAAAGAACCCCTCACATCCTCTCCCTGCTTTCTCTTCCGGGCGCTCGAGTCATTTGTAAATAAGGCAAAATCCCTGAACTTGAGAGAACACTGAAAACATTAGTAGAGCCAAAGCTACTCTTCTAAAATATTCTAAACGGCTCGTTAGTGATGGGCAGATGTTGCGTTTACTGTACCCTTGGACTAATCAGCTGGCTCCATGAATGTGGAAAAAATGACATGCTGAGACAAAGGAGCATCCTAAGTAGAGCCAGCATCAAAAGTCAATCGTTGTATTCGCTTCAGATTTGGGCATCTAAATAGTCACACAGGGTACATGTACAGCACAACACTATTTCAAAATAACTAGCACTATTCTGAAATAACTTAGTCCGCGTCTACACAGCCGGCAGTGATTTCGAAACAGTGTCAAAATACTGTTGAGCTGGAGGTCTTCTTACTCCGACTCCTGTAACCCTCAGGCTGTGTCTAGACTGGCAAGTTTTTCCGCAAAATCATCTGCTTTTGCGGAAAAACTTGCCAGCTGTCTACACTGGCCGCTTGAATTACCACAAGAACGCTGATGATCTCATGTAAGATTGTCAGTGTTCTTGCGGAAATACTGTGCTACTCCCGTTCGGGTAAAAGCCCTCTGTGCAAATAATTTGCGCAAGAGGGCCAGTGTGGACAGCACAGTACTGTTTTGCGTAAAAAAGCCCCGATGGCTAAAATGGTGATCGGGGCTTTTTTGCGCAAAAGCGTGTCTAGATTGGCACGGACGCTTTTCCACAAAAAGTGCTTTTGCGGAAAAGCGTCCGTGCCAATCTAGATGCTCTTTTCCAAAAATGCTTTTAATGGAAAACTTTTCCGTTAAAAGCATTTCCGGAAAATCATGTCAGTCTAGACGTAGCCTCATTGTATGAGGAGTAAGGGAAGTCGGTGGAAGAGCGCTCTATAAGTGCTGTGCAGACACTCCCAATTTCGAAATAAGCTATTTCGAAAAAAGCTGCGCAACTGACATAGCTCAAGTTGCATAGCTTATTTCCAGTGAAGCCCTGCCGTGTCGATGCACCCGTACTGGGCCAGATTCTCAACTGATGTAGATCTCTACTGAAGCCATTTTGCACCACTCCTTAATGATGACCAGCTCCTTGATGGGCATCAGCCCCGTGACTAGAGATGACCCTCAAGCTTGGTCATCGGCTCGGACCATACACCCCCATAACAAATAAAAAATGTGCCGTGGTGTATCTGGTACAGCTGTTCTGGCTTGTCAGAGTTCCGGAGTAGCTTAGTAACAAATCCAACCCTTGAAAAATGATTTGTTCCTGGCAAGCTCAGTGGTCCTCCCACCACTTCAATTCTGCCATGTGTCCACCCAGAAGATGGCTACTCAGAAGACAACTTACTCAACGGTTCCAGTCAGCCGTCAGGAAGGCTTCAAACAAACCTTTATTACATTCTCTTTTGCAGCCACAGATATAAGGTATAAGGCAGGGCTACTCAACTTTGGAAGCCTTGTGGGCCACAGTGATACTTATAGCACATGCCCAGGGTCACAACTTAAGTGTGGTTGTATATACATGCAAATATATATGCAAATAGCTTCTTTCACACTGACGGGCATGAATACAAAGATTAAGGCAAGACTACACAACACACAGGCCCCATTTCAGTCAGTTCTGCTGCTATTAATAAAATGCAATACTGACCCGACTTCCTCCCATAGGACAGCACTTTTAATGAGCAATGACAGTCCAGGAATTTAACTACTAAATTGCATATCAACAGAAGACATTATGCTGACTCCTTTTTGTTTTGACTCCCACCCGCGGGCCACATATTGAGCCCTGCATAAATCCAAACTGCACCGCAGGCTGCAAACAAACAGGCCATGGTCCACATGTTGAGTAGCCCTGGTATAAGGATGTAAAGTTGACTTAAAAAGTTTTCTTTAAGGAAAAAACTTAATAGGATCCACTAAGCTTCCTGGAAGCTTTTGTCTTTTTTTTTTTTGGGGGGGGGGGGGAGATGTTTAATGGTCTTATGTATAACATCAGATACATTTCAAGTTATTCCATTCACCCTCCCATTCATTAGGTTCTGGCCTTTTCAGGGCTAAAGCTTATGCATTTTTTAGATCAATGAGGAATTTATCTTCATAGTAGAGATCTGAATTCTGCACCTTCACAAAGAGTACATCCTTTTCCTCCTGCTTTCCCCAGCTCCTTTCCTGGGGAACCAGGTTCGGAAGCATTCTCCCACTGGTAAGGGGAATCAGTTTCCCCCATCCAAAATAATCACACAGGTTTATTCCTCTTTCAAAAGTGGCACTGGAAGGGTTAAAATGGTAACATGAATTTAAAAAAAAATCCTGAATACATGACACCATAACATTTGAATTGTGTTAGTGCCAGACTACTGGAGTTGACTATCATGTGGGCTGGTGAATACAATGCAGCTGTGCCCTGGTGTGTAAAATTTGGTCCCAAGCTTTTACTATGTTGGCAGGGTTTGGATTTTCTTTGGTTGAAAGCATAAAGCAAAGATTCAGCATAAGCCAAGATTCAATCTTTGGGAGAACACTGCAGAGTCCTTCCCCTGTAGGTACTGTGCGACCTTGAGGAGGGAATTAGAGTCAAAACTGCCTCCTTCCTTCACCAAATCTGCTTGATTCCTCCTGTGTTTTCTTGCAGAGATCTGGCCTTCCTCTAGGGGTGATATGACTAATATTGATGAATTAAGTTAGGCTCTAGAAGCTAATCCGGCATCCAGGATCATCAAATGGAGATCTTTGGAGAAGATGAAGCCATAGAGTTGTAAAAGTACAATTGTAGCTGTCTCTATAAATGTTTTAACTACGGAAACATAGAAAAGTTTTGATCATAATTGATAGAAGGCACTTTTATTACTAATTATTCCTCCCACTTTTTTTTAATATAGTTAAAGGCATAAACGCAGCTGGTGACAAACAGGTGGAAAAGACAGTCCTATTTTCATGACTACCTGTTGGCTTCTGTGAAACAGAGCAGGCTGGTGGGAAGAAACTCATCAGAATGAATGTTTAGGTTATGGACAGGATTTTACTCATATCCAGTTTGTTTGTTTGTTTGTTTTTTAAGAGCTGATACTCAATGGCATTTTTATATCTTCAGCTCCATGGAAACCAAGATATAGTTAAAAGCTGGGAGGAGCATAAATAGAGAGACAATCAATACAGCAGAATGGGATTCAAATGGACAAACTGCTCCAGGGTAGCATTATGGTTACATTTTCTAACTGTTATTTATCTTGGCACTCAGGTTCAATTCCCACAAATGTCAGGAGGTTTTTAAAAAGAATTCTCCAATGTAAAATAAACACACAAACACCCGGGCCAGAGTTCTCATCCCAAATCTAGTAGAGAGCATTTGTTTCAGAAGGCTTGCACTAGCCAATAAATATTGACCTACTTATGTATGCAAGAAAGGAGTCTAATAGCAATTTGGGATCATTTTCTTAATTCCAGTGGTCATTACCTACTATACATTGTAAATTCCAACAATCCTCTAGTTGCCATGCAGACCTAGATGAAAATAAAAAATCCTTCACTCTTAAGCGTTCCATACTTTTCCTATAGGGGTGTGTGTGTGTGTGTGTGTGTGATGATGTTAACTTAAAAACAAAGGAGGGGAGGGCATGGAAGAGGGCTGAAGAGGAAAAGTGCACATTTAAGGGGGAGAGAATTCTAGCCAACAGACCAGTTTTTCTTCCATTAACCTCAGCCGGTATCTGCTGTAACACTTGTGCTATTGCTACTGAAAATGCCTTTTCAAGCGGTTCTGCTGAATAACGCAGTATGCTGCATCGTTAACTCGACCAGGATGTTTTCCGGAGGCATCTGCTATTTTGACCAAATGTCGGGGTTTGACATTTGATATCATTATCCAGCACCGGTATCACGTTCAGACTGAGATTTTCATCTGATATTGAATTTGACTGTGACCAGCTGCGTTGTTAATCAAATCAACAGCCAACTCTGTGGACATTCAGTTCTTCATGGTGGTGGTGGGGAGGTGAGAAGAGGCAGCATTTCATTGAGGACTCCTGCCTCTCTCCTTGCAATATCCATATCTCAGTGTTTTCATTGATGTAATATTTCCGATGGAGTCCCTTGGGGAAAAGGAGCGCTAAGGCCGTCTCGGTATGGATTGCCTTTATGCTCAGATGAAATATTCCTTTTTGCTCTCATCCACAGCTTCTTGGAGAGCCGGGTCATTTTTTAGCGCGGCGTCTGCGCTTTCGGCAAATTCGGTTCCCTTCGCTTCATTCGTGCGGTAGGTGCCTTTGTGCCTGCACAAGTATCGAAGCATCACGATCAGCAGGCAAATGAGGACGATAGCCACTGCTGCAGTGACACCTAGAAGGGAAGAACCATTTGAATCGCTTAGTGAGCAATCATACATATTTTCTTTACATAACACACAGTTCATCTGTGGAACTCCTTGACAGAGGATGTTGTGGAGGCCAGGGCTTTAGCAGGGTTCAGAGAAGAGTTAGATAAATTCATGGAGGTTAGGTCTATCCTCAGCTATTAGCCAGGATGGGTAGGAATGGAGTCTCTAGACACTGTTTGTCAGAATGGGCGACAGGAGAGGGATCACTGGATGATTCCTTGTTCTGTTCATTCCTTCTGGGGCACCTGGCATTGTTCATGGTGGGAGGACAGGACCCTGGGTTTTGTGGACCTTTGGTCTGACCCAATATGATCATTCTTATTTATCACTTACCTTTAACACCAAGACATAATGCATCCTGGAGTATTCAATGGGGGAGTGGGAAATATATGGATAATGCATCACAACACACTCAAACATGCAAAAACTCATACCAATTGCTTCCAAATGAATTGGCCGAGACCCAGTATTTGTCTTAGTGCTACGAGTTCATCTCGAAGCACGAAGAAACAAAACAGTGTAAAAGAAAAGAAAGTGGAGCTGGTGACCACCTTGGTGCTAATTCAACCCTGTCGTGTTACAGCAAACTACGGTTCTTGAACAGCTGCACTCCAGACCTGGTGAGAAGGCAACGAATAAAGGCTACTCTCTCTTCCCGACACTTGGGCCTTGTCTATCCTAGGGCCTTAGTCCTCAATTAGTCCCTTAAAGTTGATTTTCTAAGTGGTGCGTCCACACTACCAAGCCCATTAATCGGGACTAAGGGGCCACGGAATTCCAACTCGGTGCTCTGAAATAACATGCGTGTAGACACTCCAGTGCCGCTAATTTGAACTAATTGGCCTCCGAGAGGTCTCCTACAGCTCCCCAGAGTTTTTGCTGGGGCTCCGAGCATGTTCCGTTCATGTGGATGCGCTACCTCAGACTACATTTGATTCTTCTCTGTAGTGAGGACACGGAAGTTCGAATTGGTAAAATTGGAAGCCCAGAAGTCGAATTTAGTAAATTGAAAATAATCTCGTGTAGACATGGCCTTGGAAATGACCTTCAAAGGACAGGCCTCACAGAGAATTATAAGGAAAAAAAGCAAAAAATCACCCTTTTGGACATTTTCTTCTCACTTGGGGGGTGCAAAAAGATTCTGCATGCGATTGGGCTGGTGAAGCCATCTCGGAACAAGTGGAGGCCAAAGTAGCAAAAAGGGAGATGGACTTGATAAGGAGATCTCTTCATTGCCTGTGCTCACTTGTAGGGACATGAAAATAGGGGTGAGGAATGGTATGAAAACAAAGGGAAAGGGAGAATTTTGCCAGCAGTTCCAGGATAAAGGCAAGCGACTATTTTATTTGTACAAAATGTAGCCAGTTCCTCCCGCTTTACGGTGATTGAAGTTACGGCTCTCAGACAGAGAATTGCTCATGTAAAGAAGTTGAGTTGACAATAATAATGTGGTACCACTAGGGGCTGCATCAATTTTTTAGGACTACATTGGTGTCCCTGGGCACAAAATGCTTCAATAGGCTTTTCATGTGGCACACACGAACTGAAGCCTACAAGATGAAACACAATTCAATTTACCTTCCAGTGGTTCACAGGAAGCTGAAATTAAAGTTACAGGCGATAGAATCTGAAGGAAATTTCATCACTAATTTGCACTAATGATTGGAATAGCCCTGGTGAATTACGGAACTCAGTGAGTTAGCAAGGAAGTGAACAAATATAATGACAGTCCAAAGACCAGGATAATGCATTTCTTCGTGTACGGTGCTTTGCTCATTTATTCTGACATCTGAGTTAGTTTAAATGTATGAGAGCATATGAATGAACTCCAGGAAATGTGTAGCATATTTTGTAAAAATAATGCGCCGCATCATCCACCCGCATAAATTGGCATAGCTCTAATCGAGAAAGTGACTCTAATTTAAGCCAGCCGATGAGATGGCTCAATGAAGGAAGAGTTCAATAGAGTCTCTAGAGATGCGTTCTTTGCTGAGCTATGGAGAAAGGGTCATAATTTTATGTGGCTCTCGTGTGTGTAACGCAGCAAATAGATGATTACTGAGGTTCTGCCGTGATCTGACATCTAGATGCAGATGGAGGTGGAAGGTAACAGAGTAGTTCCTTTCAGAGACAAGAGAGGGAAACAGTTGCCGAGGGTCTGTACACATCCCTTCCGTGTGTGTGTGTGTGTGTGTGTGTGTGTGTGTGAAAGACGTACAGCTATAGATATGGGAAAGATTAAACATCCCCATTACTGCCTCCTTCTCTGCATCCCATGGATGGAATTTGGGGTGAAGGTGAGTTGTTCTGGGGCACATGCTGAGTACCATCATCCCACTCCAAACCAACATATCCTGCTGCAGTAACTACGTCTGATTGTTTCCTAGAGTGGCAGGTTCCCGTGCTAGCAGGAACCCTTGTGATCATCTGGTCTGAACGCCTGTGTCACGTAGGCCCAGAGAATTGCCCAAAGTAATTCCGAAAGATGCTGTTTTAGGGGGGAAAAAAATCTCATCTTGAATGTAAAATGATCAGTGACAGAGAATTCCCCGCAACCCTTGGTAAATGGCTTCAATGGTTAATTACCCTTATGGGTAAAAATTCACCCCTTATTTCCAGCCTGAGTTTGCTTAGCAAGGTGCTTTCATTATCATTAACAGATGGACAGCCCCTGTGTGTGTCGAAAACCTAGCACCCAGGAGTATCCTGGGATATTTGTCTAATAGAAGGGTCATTCCCTCCTCAATGTGCATGAGCATATATTTAAAATGACCCCTAATTCTGCATTTCAAATGTGACCTCACTAACAACTTAAACACAGCCAATAGCAGATGAACTATTTAAGTGTCCTGATTCTGTTCTCAGGCCCATCTCATGCTGGTGTAACACCATTCATCTCAAAGAGGAGTCATTCATAAAAACATAAGAACGGCCACACCGAGTCAGACCAAAGGTCCATCTAGCCGAATATTCTGTCTCCTGACAGTGGCCAATGCCAGATGCCCAGAGGGAGGGAACAGAACACGGAATCATCAAGTGACCCCTCTCCTGTCACCCATTTCTAGCCTCTGACAAACAGAGGCTAGGAATACCATTTCTAACCATTCTGGCTAATAAGTATTGATGAACATAACCTCCATGAATGTATCTAGTTTTTTGGAACCTTGTTAAAGTCCTTGTCTTTGCAGCATCCTCTGGCAAGGAGTTCCACAGGTTGACTGAGCATTCAGTGAAGAAAAACTTCCTTTTGTTTATTTTAAACCTGCTACCTATTCATTTTATATGGTGACCCCTAGTTCTTATGTTATGGGAAAAAGTAAATCACTTTTCCTTATTCACTTCCTCCACACCAGTCAGGATTTTATAGACCTCTATCTTATTCCTCCTTTGTGTCCTCTTTTCCAAATTGAAAAGACCCAGTCTTTTTAATCTCTCTTCAGATGGCACCCGTTCCAAAACCCTAATCATTTTTTTGCCTGTTTCTGAACCTTTTCCAATGCCCACATGTGGGGTGTGGTTTTTTTGTGTTTGTTTTTGAGATAAGGTAACCAAATCTGCATGCAGTGTTAAAAAGAGTGGCCCTACCATGGATTTATACAAGGGCAATAAGATGTTCTCTTTCTTATTCTCTATCCCTTTTTTAATGATTCTCAACATTCTGTTTGCTTTTTGACTGCCACTGCCCTTGGAGTAGATGTTTTCAGAGAACTATCCACGGTGACTTCAAGATCTCTCTCTTGAGAGGACACAGCTAAATTAGTTCCCATCTTTTTGTATATATAGGCCTGCCTCCCGGTGGCATAAACGAGATCAGAATCAGGCCCTGGACCATGAGATGTCTAAATTCAATCACTTTTCCCCTCCGTTGGCCACAAGCACAAAATTAGAGGCTGAGTTCAAGATTCTTGAAAGATTTAACCCTTCAAGTCCTGCTGGGCGAAGAGTGATTCTATAGAACACAGTTATACCCTTTCTCCTGAGACACAGAGAGAAAGCCAGGTGCCCTAGTGGGAATGAACGGAACAGGGAATCATCAAGGCTGTGTCTAGACTACATGCCTCTGTCGGCAGAGGCATGTAGATTAGACACATAGGCAAAGTCAAATGAAGCTGCGATTTAAATGATCGCAGCTTCACTTAAATTTACATGGCTGCCGCGCTGAGCTGACAAACAGCTGATCAGCTGTTTGTCCGCTCAGCGCGCTAGTCTGGACGCTCCCCTGCCGACATCAAAGCCCTTTGTCGGCAGCCCTGTTATTCCTCGTCAACGGAGCCATGTAGTTTAGATGTACCCCAAGTGATTACAACCCTTTGCCCATTTCCAGCTTCTGACAAACAGAGTCTAGGGACACTATTCCTACCCATTCATGCCAGACCTAACCTCTATGAATGTAACTAGTTCTTTTTGGAATCCTGTTGAAGTCCTGGTCTTCAAAACATCCTCTGGCAAGGAGTTCCACGGGTTGACTGTGGGCGTCAGGTAGAAAAACTTCCTTTTGTTTGTTTTAAACCTGCTACATATTCATTTTTATACATACCTCTATTGTGTTTTTAAAATGTTTTAAGTCGCCTCGAATATTTTAAGTGAATTTAAATAAAAGCGCATTCTAGGACCCTAATTCATCAATGTGTTTAAGCATGTGCTTCACTTTACCCTTATGAATCCTACAGAAGATTTAAAATTGAACCTTTAAACATCCAAATTAAGGCTGTGCCTAAGTTTTGTGCTGTATTGGGACTCTTCTGATTTCTTTTATTGAATACCACATAGTATCTGCACTGGGAGGTCTATAGAAAGCTGATCAGGCAGGGGATTTTATAAGAAATCAAGAGCCCATTCTCTTCTAATGGAATTTTTAAATACTGTCTAGCACTTACCTCCAATGACTGCCACATCTGTGGTCGCTGACGAACCCTCGATATCTCCAGCTATGAAGAGATTAGAATATAGAAAATGAATTAGATGAAAGAGGTTGGATGATGTGTGACTGCAGCTCTTCTATTAAAGGGTGCACTATTATTTTAACCTCTGGAACATGAAACTTAGAATTTCAATGAGCTCTCCAACTTAGCATCCATAAAAGATCTAATTAAGTCTGGGTGCAAGGTACTGGTTTTGTATCAAGATAATGCTTGGCAGAGAAGCAGACATCAAGGAAACACCTGGCATTTTGTGCGATCACGTACCTGTAATATCCTCTGAGGAATGATGAAATTAAGAGTATCTGGACAGTGTAATTATTCTCGGACAGTCAGTATGGGGAGGAAAAAAAATTGCCTAGTTTGGGCAGGAGTTTTAGAATCTGGGCTGGATCCTTATTTGGTGTAAATTCGTTTAGCTTCATTGACTTTAATACCATTATATCTCAGCAGGAGCAGCATGTTTATTATTTATACATGAATATTTGGAAGAAAAACAGACCTGGTGTGAATAGGGTGTAACGTCAGGGGAAGAGCACTTTGCTTGTGCCACATCGGAACTTGGCGTTTGGAAGCCAAATTACATTCTCTACTAGTTGATAACTTCTAAGAAGAAATTTGGCAATTTAAAAGCATCCGAAGGAGCGGACCGTATCCTTTTAAGTATGTGAGATAAGGAATTGGCTTGAAAGAGCTACATGCTGTTGAAAAGATTAAACCTTCATTATGGCATTTACTAAAAATGCCCCAAACCAAACCAAATGCTGGGGGTGGGAACCAAACAACCATTCCTAATGAAAAACTTTTGCTTTAACAGACAAAACAAACCAATGAAGTTTTTTCCTTTCTTGCCATCTTAGATGATATTTAATGCAGTAAATTGAGATATGCTGATATTTCCCTATTGGCTTTCCTGGTTGTCTATAAGACAAAGTTACCAGGTTCAATTCTGATCTTAGTCCCCTTCCCCCCTCTTTTTTTTTCACTTATCTCAAAAAAGATATCTTAGCATTGGGAAAAGTTCAGGAATGGGCATGAAAAATGATGAGGGGTTGGGAACGACTGCCATATGAAGAGAGATTAAAAAGATTGGGACTTTTCATCTTAGAAAAGAACAGACTAAGGAGGATATGATAGAGATTTCTAAAGGTCTGAGGAGACTAAGGGGGGATATGATAGAGGTCACCATGACCGGAGTGGAGAAAGTAAATAAGGGAAAGTTATTTACCCATTCCCATATCATAAGAACAAATGAAACTAATAGGTAGTGGGATTAAAACAAACAAAAGGAAGTTTTTCTTCATGCAGCTCACAGCCAACCTGTGGAACTCCTTGCCAGAAGTTGTTACAAAGGCCAGGACTTCAATGGCTATTAGCCAGGATCAGTTGGATTGATGTCCCTAGCCTCTGTCAGAATCTGGGAATGGGTGCTGGAGGAGGAATTGCTTGAGGATTCCCTTTTCTGTTCATTCCTTCTGGGGCACCTGGCATTGGCCACTGTCAAAAGACAGAATATTGGGCTTTGGTTTCACCCAGTATGGTCATTCTTATGATGTAACTCCACTGACATCAGCTGAATTATTCCTGATTTTTACTCGGCTCAACCTGTGCTTGTTCTCAGAAGGAAATTATTATCATGTCAGCCTAATAATTACTATGGGGGATGAACTGTAGCAAGCACTCGGCTTGCAGCTTCTACAGTCCTGACAGATAAGACAGGCGGCTAGTTGATTGTAAGGCCAGCAGAGACCACTGTGATCAGGTAGGCTGCTCTCCTGCACCACCCAGGCCACACCCTTCCCTGAACTTCAGCTACAGCAGGTCGTTAAGAGAAATGAACAAAGTGATTATTAGTTTCTGGAGGTGTCCCAGAGTTTGTCTATTACAGAGGCTCCCATCAACTCAATTATTACATAAAAACATAAGAACGGTCGTGCTGGGTCAGACCAAAGGTCGATCTAGCCCAGTAGCCTGTCTGCCGACAGTGGCCAGCACCAGGTGCCCCAGAGGGGGTGGACTAAAGACAATGATCAAGCGATTTGTCTCCTGCCATCCCTCTCCAGCCTCTGACAAACAGCTAATAGCCTTTTATGGACCCAACCTCCATGAAATTATCTAGCTTCTCTTTAAACTCTGTTATAGTCCTAGCCTTCACAGCCTCCTCTGGCAAGGAGTTCCACAGGTTAACTACACACTGTGTGAAGAAGAACTTTCTTTTATTAGTTTTAAACCTGCTACCCATGAATTTCATGTGGTGTCCTCCAGTTCTTCTATTATGGGAACTAATAAATAACTTTTCTTTATTATTGTGGCATTGTTCTATATAATTGCAAACTGTTGGTTAACTACTAAGACACATTGTATAGGATGGGGAATAGCCTTCCATCTGAGTAGCCAGGAAGAGTCTGTTTTATGCTGAGAAGGAAGAAACCTAAAGCCCATGACCTCCTGCAGACTGAAAGAACTCCATTACAACCCAGACTTAAATCGCAACAATGGTCCTAAAGCATCATATATATAGTATCCCAGTGTCTGTGAGTCTGTAACGCTGAAATGCTGGCTGTTCCCTCTGGGTGGCCCATGCTACATGGGGAGTACAGGGCCCAAATGGCTGCTTGCTTCCCCATGGCAACCCGGATGAGCGGTGCAGAAGTCAGACGAGCGCCAAGGTGGGAGGCGAAGAATGTGACTCGGGGAACAGCGCTGCCCAGAGGGAACAGCCAACATTTTGGCATTACAGACTCACAGACACTGGGCTTCTATATATTTGATATAATTCTTGGCATAGAAACTTGCAAAATGTCTACCCTGTCCTGGCTGGAGTAAGTATCCCTATAGTAACTTTCAATCAATCAATCAATGTGTTTTTTGTTTCCATTGGTGATGCGCATCCACACTTTACCTCCACATCGGTGCACATGACAAAATTCATTCTACACATAGATGGAAAATAAAAGAGGACACATTGATTGTGTAGCCTTTTGTTTTCTGCACAGTACATACTGCAAGGTGGTGCTACATCCCCATAGCTTCACTGCTAGTGGCTGGGGTCCCTGCGGGGGCGAGTGAAAATCCCGTCTTATGACGGGCTAATTGGATAGTAAGAACATAAGAAGAGCCATATTGGGTCAGACCAAAGGTCCCTCTAGCCCAATATCCTGTCTGCCGACAGTGGCCAGCACCACGTACCCTAGGAGGGTGGACCGAAGACAATGATCAAGCGATTTGTCTCCTACCATCCATCTCCAGCCTTTGACAAACAGAGGCCAGGGACACCATTCCTACCCCCATGGCTAATAGCCTTTTATGACCTAACCTCCATGAATTTATCTAGCTTCTCTTTAAACTCTGTTATAATCCTAGCCTTCAAGGCCTCCTTTGGCAAGGAGTTCCACAGGTTGACTACACACTGTGTGAAGAAGAACTTTCTTTTATTTGTTTTAAACCTGCTACCCATTAATGTCAGTTGGTGTCCTCTAGTTCTTATATGATGGGAACAAGTAAATAACTTTTTCTTTATTTACCCTCTCCACACCACTCAAGGTTTTATATACCTCTATCATATCCCCCCTCAGTCTCCTCTTTTCCAAGCTGAAAAGTCCTAGTCTCTTTAATCTCTCCTCATATGGGACCCATTCCAAACCCTTAACATTTTAGTTGCCCTTTTCTGAACCTTTTGCCCTTTTCTGAACCATTGGCTTCACCGTGGAAACTTCTATTCTCAACCGGGAAGTTGTTGCCTGGGGAAGGACTGCAAGGGGCGACCCGCTATGAATGTTTTTATTCCATTCATCTGCAAATGCTGAGAACTCAAAGGCCTGTGTTTCATGAATCTTTTGTGGTTGTGGCCATTGGTCATTTTTCTGAGTTTCAGGGGGGGACACATTTTCAGGTATCACCTATTAAATTGCCCCTGCAAAAATGCCTCTCACCGTTACGCTGGCTTGCTTCTCTGGGAGGCGCAATCTGACCTCCTATGTGTTGTCCAGCACTGCAATGCAAGTACTGCATCTGGGCACTGTGAGAGCCGATCTCGAATATCATGATGGAACAGAGGGGAAAGGAGGAGCTTTTGACAGAGTGGGAAAAGAAGCTCAGCTACCGTGCACGGAGCAAGATCAAAACAGTTCATAAATACGATTTAGTGATGACATTTCAATCCATGCACTGATTGGGGGGCCCACATATGTGCAGCTAGGTTAAAACATTCCTCTACGAGTCTCTGTGTCACCATTGCTGGCGACTGATTTGTGCCCATTTATCCTTTGTCGCAGAGACTGTTCGGTTTGGCCAAGAGACATGGCAGAAGGGCATTGCTGGCACTTGATGGCATAGATCACATTAGAGCAGGGGTGTCCAAACTTTTTTCAAAGAGGGCCAGATTTGATGAAGTGAACATGCGTGAGGGCCGACCATTTTGCCTGACATTCTTTGAACCATTAAAATTAAATGCAAATTAACTATTTTATGCAAAGTTTATTGCAAACGGCATACTTTTCATTTCGTCACATGGATGACAAATCTAAACAGGTGTTAAATCACTCTGCCTTTCATATCTGAAGGCCAGATGAAAAAAAAAATCCAGGAAGCTGAAATATATGTCAGGAACATTGTAAAGTACATTACATATTATTGGTAATAAAGGTTGTCTGTCAACTTTTAAGTTCAAAAAATATGAACAGGAACATAACACCAAGTATACATGTTGTGTCCAAATATATTTATAACTGATTTAGACCAACTGACTTTAACTGAGATTTTACAATGTATTCATCTCAATACATATGGATTCATTGGGGGCCATAAAAGATAGATATTGCCAAATTACCCGTGGGGCCGTATTAAACCGGAACACGGGCCGCAATTGGCCCGCGGGCCGGACTTTGGACATGCCTGCATTAGAGGATGTACATCTGGATGAGCCCCTGATGTGGTGACATATGTGGTTAGGTCCTGTGATGGATTGGTTGGGATTGGTCCTGCCTAGGGCAGGGGGCTGGACTTGATGA